TTATTTGATCAATTTATTTTTTGTATAGGATATTTAGAGAGATAAAGAGATATCTGCAAACTATGTAGTCGGTTTCGTTATAAATATGGCGAAATTTTTGGGATCATAATGTACTTACTGTATATCAAAATAAAAACAGTCTTTTAACATTAAATTTGTTGCATCGCTACCGGAAATGAAAAGAAAATAATAAAATAATGTATTTAATTAAAACATTTTCCAAAAAAAAACCTAATATTACCATCAAATTTTTAACGCTAGCAAGACTGAATAAATGATAATATCCAATTGACTTTTGTAATTCTGAAATATTCTCACAATCCCAACCAAATAATAATTTAAATTAAACTTTACATAGCAATACCCAGACATTTTGAATATTACATGGCAAAAAATAAAAGAAACTGACATTCAGATAAGAATCTACAATTGCAGAACTTCATCATAATAACTAAGCTGGCGTTTCTTATTAAAGTTTGCAAGCTCAATGGTATCAGTGTACAATGAATATGTCATATTGTTAATATCATCCTTGTAGTTGTTAAACCATGGGTCAGCATTAAACATATCTTGTGGTGAACATAAAGGCCTTTTGGCATGAACTTTATCTATAATTTCTTACGGTATTTTTGTTGAAACTGATAACCAGCGATCTGGAGGAGTAAAATTTGGATTACATTCTCTAGAAATTTGCATAGCAGCATGGCAACTGAGGACATGTCCAAAGAAGTCTTCAAAGTTATGCCAATATATAATAAGACAGTTTGGTAGAGATTCTTCACAATAGCCACTAATATCTTTCTTGAAATCAGCAGATGATATAAATACTATAATAACATTATAGTTATTAATGCCAAAATTATAATATGTGCTCTGAACTGCAGCCACATTTTTGTTATGTTCTTTCTTCATATCAGTCTTCTCAAAATAGCCTTTTTACAATTTATTTTGAATGTATACTATTAGTTCTGATTTTTCCTAATATTTTTGTGAGATGTTAGTAAAAATACTAATTTTCTGAAAAAATATGATATTTTTAAAATACCAATGTTTACAAAAACAAGAAAAGAATCAGCAAATGATATTTTATTTTCATTCACAATCACACCTAACTTGAAGTTCACAATTTTACCTTGCTTATTAGTAATAGGGTAAGTGGCTAGAAACTTATTACAGAGTTGATGAACAGTAATTTCTTTGAGTTCAACTTTTGTCTCCAAGGACATCTTGTCATCATAAGCATTCTGAAAGATATTTTTAAAAGCCACCTTCTTATACCTAAAGTAGAGGAAAACTCTAATACGAAATGCCACATATTCTGCAACAAGTATTTCAAAATCATACCATTCCATTCTCCATCCTGGCAAGAATGACATTCTCAACTTGCCTGCTACTACAAATGGTTTGAGAGTTTGAATATAAAGATAAATAAAAATAGGGAGTAATGTAATCAAGACATGATTGTCATTTTCAGCATAATTTATCAGAATCAAATGTTGATCACGCTTTAAAGACTCCAGAGTATCAGAATATTTGACTAAGAGAAGGTCTGACTTCATTGATGGAATTACTGCAAAACATCGATAAATGATGACTTCAACAAGTTCATTATGATAAATAACCTATGTTGTGATTGTGTATATATTGTCAATGTCTTTTGTCACATTACTGTGAATTACATTATAATCCAACAAATCAATATCTTTAAAAAATTTTTCTGTTCTTTCATATCTCTTTCCAAAGCAGCATTTCAAATACTCAATTGCTCGTGAGAGTTCACTTGTATTACATAACAAAAAAATATATCTGTTCTTACATATTTCATACATCCAAAGGAAAGCCTTTGTTATTTGCAAAATAGTTCACTATGTTAATTTGTGATTGCATATTCAACAGAAAACAATTGACAAATTCAAAAGTGTACATTATAGGTTCTTTTTGCCGAATCACATTTTGTGATGCAGTTTCTGAGAGAAAAGGCTAAATGAAACTTAAGTTGGAATTACCAAGTATAAATCTTCTAACATTATATAATATGCTCTTGAATATACATTTAGGGTTATCATAATTCATATCAGCTTTCCAACCCTTAAAGTCAAAGATAATTTAGAATTCATAAATGTGTAAAAACAAAAAGAGAAGCTGATTGTCTGTGAGGTCTAGATACTCACAAATTTTGAAAATCACATTATCAGTATAAAAATATTTTTTTTGGTTGAGTGCTAGAACAGTCTGGCTAAATGTTGAAAATGTCACATTATAATTGGATAAAAAAAGCATATGCAATTCACAGACCAACAAGTATTTCTATTAATAGTTCGCTATCACTTCCATCCAATTGAATATCATTACTGAAATTAAGAAAAATATATTGAAATGAAATTAATTGTTCAATGATTAATATTTTTTGCTTTACTTCTTCAAACAACTCTTTCCCATAATGAGTTTTCCTTGAAATGAAATCAAATGTTATTATTAGAATGTGTTCAGAAAACAGAATAATAAATAACTTAACACTGATACCTATTCCAGAAGCTCCCCTAGTCACAAGAATTCTGAAATCTGACTTGACCTCAGGGGTCTCCCCCATTCATATTTCTTTGAATTCTCAATATTATTTTGAATTTTTTCCAAATCGTTAGAGAAGTTGTGGCCTTTTAGTGAAATGACTTTAGCTTCAGCAATTTCAGAGGATTTCTTTAAAGTACTAAAATTTGACAAAATCATGTTCATAACGTCTTTGAGTGATGAAAGGTGAACTATAAAAGCAAAAAATTTTTAAAAATGATACAAATCAATTATAAATAGTATATTAATATCAAATAAACGAAATGGAATGAATGAAAAATATTTTTTTTTTTATGCAATTTGTTCATTACCTTTTCCTTCTACCTCAAGCACCGAAAGCAGTTTCTTATTCTACTCTATCTCTACCTTCTTCCACCTTTCCTTTGACTCCTCAAATTTTTCTTTATTCCTTTCTAAAATTTGTCATTTACCAACATATTTCTCCTTTGCACCTCTTTTCAATTTCTTCAGTCTCTCTAACTCCCCCTTCGCTTCTTTTTTTTGCTCCTCTGCATTTTCTAATTTATTTCTTATTTCTTTGATTGTTGCCATTTTTTAAAACAAAAGATTTGTAGAATTAATTTTTTAAAAAAAAAATTGATTTAGATCGTAATTGTTAATTGTTTTCTATAAATAATTTGGATCAATGATAAATTAGTCTATTATGGGTTGCTTTTCACAAGACTTCACATGAAATTCCTTCATTATAATAACACTGTATTAATTATTAACAATAATTCTTACCTTTTTTTTTAAAATAACATATTCCAAATTCTATTTATTTATAAAAAGCAAATTGTTATTTGAATCAAAATCGATTATGAGATGAAAAGGATTAATTGATCCTTGTTCCGTGCGCTCTTTATTATGATTTTTGTAATTTTATTACATAAAATTTGTTTGATATAAGACATTCCCATGTCTGATGTTTTAGAAAGAATAAGTTCATAATTGAAAACTGTAATTTTAGACGATTGATAGAATTTCAATTCTACCACCAGAATTTTTAAGGTTATATTTTTTCTTTAATCTTCTTTTTCTAAAATTTTTGGTTGTGACAAAACGGGAGTTTATGTAAATCTAAATAATTATTTCATGTACGATCCTTCCAAAGCGTTAATTCATTAGATGGCGTGATAGTGATCGAAAATCAATCATTTACTTTTTAATCTTTATCACATAAAAAACAAAAAAATAAAAATTCAATAAATAAATCCGAATTCGGTTGGTCCATATTATCTAATTGATATATATCATTGAAAAAGGTTTAACCATTTATTGAGATTACCTTTGTTATTTTATTTTCTTTTATTTTTTTTTTAATGGAAATTTCTTATTTAATTTAACTAGGTACAAGCCTAATTTTCCATTGAAGATGTTTCAATAAGTAATAATAATTGAAAAGCGAATTAAATGACTTACCTTTTGATGACATGAAACATGAAAAAGAAAGAAATATAAATCAAAAGTTAGAATATGTAGTATAAATCATTTTTAAAAAGCAATCAGAAATATGTTCGTTTACAAATAAAATAAACAAAGAATTACGTGCTTATTAAAATTTCTTTTCTTTATATACATTAATATATATTGATGTTTTTGGTTATTTATTCAATGCATTTATTTTTATCCGTTATTTGACGTCATAAAAAAAATAATATCTTTAACTCCATTAATCCTTCTAACATTAATAAAATCTTCTTTAAATGTACATTTATAATGATTAAAATCATTTCTATTAGTAATCGCTAACATATCTGAATTGCTCTTTTATGAAATTGAATTAATTGAATTGGTTATTAAATTCATAAATTCTCCTTACGACTTCTTTTTATTTATGTCGAAAATTCTAATTTACCCCTTTTGATAAGTGTAATATTTTAGTTGAGCTCTCCAATAACATCGATTGACTATACAGAGATATTAGTATAATATATGATAAATCTTAGGTAATAAGTGGGAATTTTCGATGAAGAGGTCATTAAATTAATTACATATCTACATCAAAGCAATAAGTTTATTATTCTACAGATCACCACCTTAAGAGAAATACTTCTTTCGATGTTTTACATAAAATATTTGTTGGAACTTTACATGAGAAACGAAGTTTTTAATTCTAAATTCTACAATTTAATACTTGTGACCAATAAAATCGACAACCATTAAAGTTAATTATTTCCCATGCGTTGAGTGGGTTTTCTAGTTACAATAGGGCAGATCAAAATGGTTCTTAATATTCTCTTAGATGTTATTATAAAGATATTTATAAAAAATTCATTTTGTTTGTTTCATTTGAAAATAGTTAATTAATAAGTACTACATGAGAAATATTTTTGTTGAGAAAAGAATCAATTTAATAAACTGTCCAACTTTCAAGATTTCAGAACAACGCACATACAAAGAATTTGTTATTATGCAATATTGTTTTAGAATTAAATTCACCAAAAATACATTCAATGCCTTTTCTTAATACCTATATTGGTACATTTATTTGAAATTTATTGATTTTAAATATAAAAAAAGAACATTGATTTCTGATAATAGATTATATCGGAACTTGGATAATAAATGTTATTATTGGCGAAACAGATTTTATATAATGTTCACAAAAAGTTGCACACTATAACATAAAAATTTTTACTAGTAATTGATTCTATAGAATTAGAAAATAGAAACCTAAACAATTTGTTGAGAAGAAAATTTTTTGGTGGTTGCCTACGATTAACAATGATAGTTAACTAATTTATTATTAAATGTTCATTCAGAAATTAGATTCATATAAGATAGGCTTATTTTAATATAACGAATTAATAAATAGTAATATAAATGGTATTTTTAAAAAGTAGCGATCAATCAAATTAATCAATTAGAAGGGAATTATTCCTAATGAAGGTAAAGAAGATATTAAATAATTTAAATTTTAATATTAGTATTTTTTAGTGTTAGTATTTTATTTATTTATCAATCTAATCTTTTTTAAATTATGAAAAAAAATTATATCATAATAAAAATAATTTAATATAGTCAACCCCCATATAAGCACAACCTCTATACAGTCGAGAAGATTTTTGTGCCCGAATTTCAGCAAAATGTATTCTTTAAGAAACCAGCGATGTTTGACTAGACTTCATAGGTTTGGGAGTTTACGCGTTTCTACCAGAATCACACCGCTAGTCACACCTGCTGCATTCACGCGGATTGCAAAATTTGGAGTAAAACCTTTGACAACGTACTGGTATGCCGTATACGTGTTTAATTGTTAAAATGTTGAAAGACGTTATAGATTTTGACTCCATAAATAGACCTCACAATATTGTATCGTAAATTCGAACTTAGTGCTAGAATCAATTATTCAGCATATTTAGCTAGCCACGATTCTACACCGCGTCGTTATTATGCTTCAAAATGTAAGTTTTTTTTTGTTTATCGACTTGTCGACTGGTTCAAATATATCCATTCTTTTACTTTTCTCGGTATTACTGAGGATTATTTATTGTAAAATTTACAGTTGAATGAATCAAACAACCCTTTTATATTTGTCTTAAATATATATATAAAATTAATATAATAAAGTATTCTTATTATAATTTTTTTTTTTTTTAGTTAATAATATTAAATGATTAATAGTAAATAATTATAATTTTTATTGCAAATATCTAAAGAAAATGATCACTTATAAAAAAAAAAAAAAAATTTCAAAAATTTATATATTTTAAGATAATTTAAAAAAAAAAAAAATTTATAGATACATATATAAAATTTGTATATATAATCTTTTAGCATATCCTCCCCATTCTGTAATCTCTATGCCTGCATTGTCTCCGACAATGACGATGGGTAATGTTGGCACTTGGCAGAAGAAGATTGGTGATGAGATAGCACCTGGCGATGTTTTAGTAGAAATTGAGACTGACAAAGCTCAAATGGATTTCGAATGTCAAGATGAGGGTTATCTAGCCAAAGTCCTTGTTGAAACTGGAACAAAGGACGTCAAAATCGGAACAGTATGTCTTTTTTACGATCATCTATTATTCATGAGCAATAAGAATTGATTTAGTTAATTAATTAATTTATTTATTTTATTTATTTTAATTATATTAGCCAATTGCTGTTTTAGTTGAGGAGAAAGAAGAAATAGAAAAATTTGCTGATTACGTTGTTGAAAAAGTGCCCGAGACCAAATCTGATGGTTCAAAAGAAGAAACTTCAAAAAAGACAGCACCACCGCCATCGCCATCACCATCACCATCACCCCCTACTCCTCTTCAACAGTCTAAACCAACGACAACCGATCACCAAACTACCGGACGGATCTTTGCTAGCCCAGTAGCACGTAGATTAGCACATGAACTTGGAGTTTCTCTTAATCAAGTTACTGGAACAGGACCAAAAGGTCGCATAACAAAGGCCGATGTTGAAAGTCTTGCTTCTGCTGAACCCACAGAACCCGAAAAACCAGTTACGCCTATTATCGAACCCACATCTCCTTATACTGACATTCCTTTAACCAATATGCGTAAAGTTATCGCTCAACGATTAACAGATTCTAAAGTATACGTTCCCCATTATTACCTAACTATTGAGGTTAATATGGATAAGGTCTTGCAACTTCGTGAAACTCTTAATAATGAGAGTGATGGCAAATATAAGTTATCTGTGAATGACTTTATAATCAAATCATCTGCTTCCGCACTTATGGTCGTTCCTGAAGTGAATAGTGCATGGCATAATGATTTTATTCGACAGTGAGTATGATATGGTATTGCATGAATGATTTTTCTTATTAAATAATATATTCTCTAAAACTCTTTTTTTATTTTCAGATATCACAATGCTGACATCTCTGTCGCTACCGCTACTCCCTCCGGTTTAATCACTCCGATTGTAACAAATGCACAATCAAAAGGGTTGGCAACCATTTCTAAGCAAGTTAAAGAATTAGCTGGTCGTGCCAGAGAAGGGAAATTGTTACCACAAGAATATCAGGTTCGATTGAAAACGCAAACCGATATTGATTTATAATATATCATAATTAACGTGCATGTGTATCTTTTAGGGAGGAAGCTTCACCATCTCAAATCTGGGGATGTTTGGCGTCAAATCCTTCACAGCTATTATTAATCCACCGCAGTCATGTATTCTTGCTGTAGGAAACACTGAACAAAAACTTGTTCCTGATTCTAATGCAGAGACGAACTATCGAGTTGTCAATACAATGCACGTGACGCTCTCATGTGATCACAGAGTTGTTGATGGGGCAGTAGGTTCTCAATGGCTAAAAGAGTGGAGATCTTATATTGAAAATCCACTTAGGTTACTTTTGTAATATTATTGAATTATTTATTTTATTTTTAATTAAATACGAACTATTACCTAGCCTTTTTTGGGCAATAATTATTAAATAAAGATAATTCTCAAGATCATGTGACATGTTTCTATAAATGTCACGTGAATTGATATGCAATTTTTTTTTTTAAAAAAAAAAAAACTCTCGATTCCATCTCGCCTTTGATCACCTTTTTTTAATAGCTATATATCACTTGTTTTTACAATTTATTTTTTTCTTTACAAAATCCTTTTTAAAAAGAAACGAATTAAATCACATTTAGTGATATTCATAAAAAATGACTGATAATAACGATAATGTGGATAATAGGGTTCCAGCTGAAGTAATTAACCGGGAAATTACTGATCTTGAAGACTCAGTAAATGAAAATGTTGATACCGTGTTCCCTTTCAATAGTGAAGGAGAAATGCGAACTGTTTTTAATGATCCAGTAAATTTTAATGTGAAACACCCACTTTTCAACGCATGGACGTTATGGTTTGATAATCCTGGTAAAAAAGCAAGTGTAACAAGTTGGTCTCTGAATCTTAAGGAGTTAATTACATTCGATTCCGTGGAAGAGTTTTGGGGGTAGGTAAATTTTTTTTTTTTTTTTTTAATGAATATTTATTTCAATGTTCACGATCTTAATGTTTTATGAATTTAATATTTTAAATTGAGAATGAACAATGATCATTATTATTATTATTATTTAATAGAGTTTACAATAATGTAGTCAAGGCTAGTGATTTATCATCTGGATCTAATTATCATCTTTTTAAACGGGGAATAAAACCAATGTGGGAAGATCCAGTAAATGAATATGGTGGGAAATGGGTTGTTCAATTTATGCGAAATAAGACTGGAGAAGATATCAATACACTTTGGCTTTATACAGTGAGTAATTTTTGTTTATAAATATTTAATTAGTTATTCAATTTTGAGATCAATATTATTTAATAATAAATGTATTAATGCCTGAATTTTTCGATCACTTATTTTCATGTGTATCAAAATTTTTTAGATGCTAGCTTGCATTGGGGAAGAATTTGATTATGCAGATGAAGTTTGCGGTGCTGTAGTATCTGTTAGGAAAATCTTTTACAGAATTTCTTTGTGGACGCGATCATCAGACAATAAAGAAATTTGTATGACTCTTGGGCATGTTAATTATAAATATTAAAATTATGATGTTTTTTTTTTATATCGTATCAAAAGACAAATATCTTACTTTATTCATATTTCTTTAAACCGTTAGACGGCAGCTGAAACAAGTCTTGGATTTAAATAATAATCAACTACTTGAATTTCAACCACATTCCGATGCAATCAAGAGTGGCAGTCACAATAAAGAACGTTACACTATTGGGAACAAGTAGTATAAATAATTTATGCGAAGATTTAATAATATATGGACGTTATAAAAAAAAAAAATATCGTAATTGACTGTCACATTAACCTTATCCTATTTTATTATTTTATATATTTGTATCTTCTCTTAGATTCAAAAATCATTTTCCGTCTTTTTCTTGCTTATTTTACTGCTAATTCATATATTTATATATGTTTCATTATATCTGTAGGAGGTTTTTATGTAACGTCAAAACTTACACACATATATATATTATATATATATATTGAAATCCTGATTATTTATAGTTGATTCGTTTGAAATTGTTGCCATAGCATAAAAGAGAAAAAAGCAGTTTTTTTTGCAAGATTTAAGCAAAAATTAGACAATAAATACTTTTTTATAAATTTATTATAATTTCGTTTTTTATTTACAATTCGATACTTCCCATCACATATTTTGTACAATTTCAATACAATTCTTAGTTTTTTTTTTAAAATAATAAATTTTGTTTATTCCTTAAAATTTCCGAAAGTTTAAAAAAAAAAAAAAAAATGAATTTATATATTTCCGACCGATTATATTGATTTTTTTTTGTACATTTGTCACATGTATGATTACCTTTTTTAAAATTTTATCACCTCGTGATAAAATAAATATCCACGACTTTGCGTCTCTGTCTTTTCTTATTCCACCACAGTTTGAAGGCTTGGAAAATGATTTTAGTCCCCGAAGCTTTCTCCCTTCTCTTTCCCATAATGCAAAAGATGATTTTTCGTTTAATAAGACGGTCTAGTATACTCTTGTATCAAAGTTCGTTACATACGTTGCAGAAAATACAAATGAAATTGGAGGAAGGCGCCTCAATCCTCAACAAAGCGTTAAGGGTGAGTATTTAAGTCTAGTTAGGTTAGCTATGGTGACTAGTTATGAAACTTCTTCCGGTAAGCTTCATTTAAATCTGGGTGAAAAGCCAGGGACAACTCGTCTCAATGTCAAAAACAACTCAGTTCCTAATGTCTCACCTTGAATTGTATTGAAACAAGTTATAGCAGATTGTAATTCTCTTCTATTTTTTTTTTTAAAGAGTCAGCTCAATAGAATCTACGAATTCTTTCTGGTGCAACTTTGAGCTCGAGAAAGATAAGATAAACAGTTATTGAGGATCAAGCTGAGGTATTTGTCAGTTTAACTTGAATCTTTGGTGCACTAACTGTTTCTTACTATTTGCAGATAAAATTTGGTAGGATCAATCTTAAGCAGGAAATGAGGCTCAAGTTTGGGTATTTTGTCGACTAGAAAGAGTTCCGAGAGAGGACAAGGACGATAACACCTACAAAGCAGGTAACAACCGCTCTTCAAAGATATTCTTTTAGTGTTTTCCAAAACTAGTTTATATGATTACATTAAAACTGAGCTGCCTATCTGAGAAGAAGATGAAAAATTAAGTTAGATTTCACAAGTATTGAAAGGATTATTATCTTTTTTTTTATTTATTTTATGTTGCAGTTCCGGAATTTTCTAGTCATTTTGCTATTAGTTGGTGCAAACTCTAAAAAAGATCCAAACTTGCTCAAGGGTTTGCATTTTGTTGATGGGAAAAACGACAATACGCATTGGAAATTAATCCTATGAGTTGCAGCAAGAATCAACAATTGAGGTATGCAAATTTCAAGATCCTGATGCTTTTATTCTGCATATCTCAACATTTATTCTCTTTAATTTTTTACTAATCCACACAAAGAATACAGCATTCGACTTAATCGTGCGACAAGTGGTACTGATGTGCACCCAGTCTTGACCATAAATATACAAATATATATGCAAATGAAAGCCCCATGTTTATACTATTATTTCCAAATAAAACCTTCCAAATACTAGTGCATTAAAATGACTTCTTCAACGCAAGAAAGGTAACAAAAAATAGTTTTACATTTCTGGAAGCAAGAAATACGCAATGCCGACAAAATATGCTGGTAAGTGTGTTTACAGTGAAAAAATTATCAATTTTGATCTAATTTTTTCTGTAATCAGCTAAAAAATTTCTCGATAATAGTATTCATTTTATTATGTCCCATAAACTTTTTAGAATCTGATGTTGTATTTAAAAAATTTCTTAATACAAATACGGACAATTCCTTAAAAATACCAAAATATCTGTACTTGCAACCTCTTTAAGCGAACGTCTGTTATTCATACTCTCTAGAGATTATTAAAACATAAACTGATTACCCAGATTCCAGATGTTCAGTCTGTAATTATACAGACCCCCGCCAAAAGTCTCCGAACACCATTTTTTAGGTGCGATTTCATACGGATAACGTCATGTGACTTTATA